CCTGTTAAGATAGTTATTATATGGTGACTATATTTTGAAGGAACAGCCTCATTCTCAGTTTACATTTACCTTCTGGGGATTTTATTTTGAAAAAAAAGGTGCATCCCTTGCCATTGGTGTCTTTATTTTGAAAAACAAGGGTCATCCTGCTCTTCATACAGTTACTCTATCTCTCTCTAGAGTCTCTCTATGTTGAATATTAGAAGATTTGAATTTAGTTTAAAGCCAAGTCAAACTAGGTTAATTGTTAATTAGGTCAGCTCAATCAGCTGTGTACTCCAATTAATGGTTGCCATGGTGATGGCACCTGCTGTGTGTCTCCTGGGTCAGAGGCTTCACTTCACAGAGATTTTAGCTGAGGCACACCTCTTGTGATTATGCTTCTAGCGCCCAAACGGGGTATCATTTCAGACAAGACGATGATATCACGCACTCTAGCTCTGAAAAGCCCAACCATACGCGTACAATTAAAACTAAAAAAGCCCCCAAATGAAGATATTTAAACTTAAAAACATGTCATATCAAGCCAGTCATATCAGTTCGTCTCAATGTGACCATAACAGATCATAACAGATCATTCAATTAATTTGACCCCTTTTTAATGTGTAAAATAATCTAAATTAATGTGTATTACGTATTTTGACACTAAACTGGGTTTAACAGATCCACTCCTGACCATTTTGAATACAAGACAGGAAGACGGGGGAGCTGTTCCAGTGTGAGGAGGGGAGGCTGGTTGCCTCCTGTAGGAGGGTGATGTTAGAGAGCGAGACAGCCACCACCGCTTCCCTGCCAGGTATACAGGGTTAGGCCTCACTCGCTGTCAGAAGGCTCCGTCCCTCAGGGCCGTGGACGGCTCAGACTCTTTTCTTTTACTTGATCAAGTGCTAGCCTTTGTAATGTGTTATTTTTGTGTGTGCTTGTTAAATTTAAGTACTCCAGTCACAGTTTGTCAGAGACATTAGTGTTTTATTATGTTCACTTTGTTTCCCGCTGTTTGTAATTGTCCGTCCACACCTGTGTCTGATTAGTCTTCACCTGCAGAGTATATACTCGTCAGTGTCAGCATTTTCCTTGTGTCTGAAGATCTTTGGTTTCTTAGATTTTGCCTTTTTGACTTTTTGACTCTTTGATAATTAGAATTCACTTTTAAAATTAAATTAAATCTTGTAATGTTTTGTCTTTTTAATGTTTAATAAAAGATATTTACATGTAAAAACAATTAAATGAGCTATAAATACAGGCGAACGCTGCTATAATACAAATAATCAGGAGAAGAGTGCTGTTATTATTTGATTTTTCTTATTTTAATCTGAATTTTAAAAGTTATAGAACTGTAATAAAAGTCATTATCTGTAAAATTACAGTAATTTTTGCTGTTTTCGCTGATAAAAACTTTGTGATTTTCATTTAAAGTTGGCCAGCTGTTTCCTCCTGCTTCCAGTCTTTATGCTAAGCTAACCAGCTACCTGTTGCCTTATATTACCAGAAAACAAGAGCACAAAACATCTATCCTTTAATCTTTACACTGCAAAATTTTAATTATCATGTTTAAATCCCAAAATGGGCCCCGAGCTTTAGCTCTTAACTCCCCACGTGCTGTCACGGGCCCCCTAGGTCCTCTGATGCCGCTGCTCCCCGGGTGCTTCACAAATCCAGATTAAAAAAACAACCTCCCAGAGGGGATCAGGACTGCTATCACTTAATTTAAGTCTCTTACCTTTTAAACACCGTGATTTTATCTCCTTACTGCTGTTTTATGGTGATTTTGTCTTTTTCTGTATGTTCTGTCGTTCTTAGTGTTTTATGATTAACACCTCCATGATTGCTGTTGTTTTTGTTGTTTTTACCCTGTAAAGCACAGTTTTGAGAGGTCATAAATAAGGTTAATTAGTATTATTACTATCTTTGGACAGATGATGAGAACGATTTCCCATCGAACTCTCGGAAAAAGAGAAAATAAGCTTTTTATAACTATTACTTTAAATGACTTACCTCATAAATGGAAATCAGGCCGGCAGATAAAAAGAAGATATGTGGCTGTTTGATAGTGATGAAATATCATCCGTGCTGCTTTTAGTTTATTGTGACTGCCTTTTAAATCACCAGCGTAACCTTTGGCAAAGATGAACAGAACGTTGCACACATATTACCTTAGAAAAGATCCCCAGTGAGAGATGTAAATCAAAATTTCATGGCTGCCAGTGAGGCTGAGCGAGTTACCCCTCACAGTGAGTGTTTACAGGAAGCACAGAGAAAACATACCACGTTTCTGGATGTTTGCAGGCATGATTTCACTGATTCTGTTTTTGGCCTTGCTCATCTACTTGGAGATCCTTGGTGAGGTACCTCGATTAACTCAAAAAGACATTTTTCATTTCTTGGAGGCTTTTTTTTTTCCTTCTTTTCCTTCTTCAGATTTTCCTGGTGGAGTGTGGATCTATTTGTGCATTGTTGTACTAAGTCAATACTGTGCACTCCCACAATTTTTCATCCAAACAAATATCCTCAGTAATGATCTGTGAGATGCAGACCACAGCTCTCTCTAATCAGCATTCTTTTCTTAGCTACACAACAGCAAAAGATTTCAAAACAAATTGCTCTCCATCAGTCACAATATGACAAATCAAACACTAATTACAATATCTGCCAAAATTAGATCAACAAATCATTTGTTCTGTTCATATTACATTTTTTTGTACAGCCTCGCAGATTTTTCCAATGGTCCTTGAAAGAAATTCATCATATATGCGAGTGCTGGAAACTAAATATACGGATATAAATTCTGTTGGCAGCGTGCCTCCATGCCTGCCTGCAGGCTAAAGAAAGCCTGAGTCATGTTTAGACAGTGAGTTATGGGAGAGCCATAAATCCTTATCTGAACAACCTTTGACCAGTCTGAAACTGTACTGTACACGAGATGTGTGAACATGCTAGTGGCTGATAACAAGGAGAAGGAATCAGATGTCTGTTTACTTCGCAGCAGGTTGGAGGAAGCAACCGGGGAGGACCAGCGGTGTAGGGCAGCATACACGCACTTATTCCTCAGTTTGCATTAGTGTTAGGCAGTAAGGCATTACTTGTAATAATATAATAGTAATAACATTGATTTCCCCAGTAAGTAGTAGTGTATCTCATTACTAATACATTTCAGTATAATATTAAAGCCTTAAAGCTGCAGGCAGTGATGATCGGGCCCTTGACAACATATCATGTGGAGAAAGATGATATCACGACTGCCATACAATGCTTACTGTCTGTATTCCAGTAGGTGGCGCTATGAGTATGACTGAATATTGACATGTAGATGTGTTCCAAGACAACGCCGTTTAACGCACAGTCACAACGAGCTCAACTTTTAACCGTGATGGTCTTTAGATCGCACAGACCAAATCTGAAGTCGATCCCGTCAATTCCCTCGGAGGAGTTCATTAAAATACAACGTGTGCGAAATGGCAAAAATTACCACTAAAGTACCCTTGGGTCTGGCATATTGGGTCTAAGAGGCTTTTTCGTACGTCTGGATATGATACATACATACGTATTGAATTTCATACATATTGATGAAACGAGCGAGCCGTTTTGCGATGCCCATGTGCGAGACCCATATTTCTCCACCTCCAACACGTGTGCAGCTAGCAGAGTTATGGAGTCTGTTTTGATAAATAATAAGAACTAAAAATAATCAGTTTCAGTTTCAATAACTTCAGTTACCTCGCCAAAAAAGAAATGAGTTACAACTTTCAATTTGACTCCTGCTGATCTGAAATCCAACAATCCAATCACATCCTTGGATTGATTTCTGTAAACGTGGAGGGAACTAGAGGATTTTAATCATCGTATGTCTTTAGAAGAATATATCGAGTAGCAGAAAAGTAATATAACTAATAGTGTAACTGATTACTATTGACACAGAGTAATAATGATTAATAGATTACATTCTTTGGAGCCCAACACTGGTCAGCATTGGGTACAGCCATTTCTAAATCCTCTCTGCATCATTAAAGTGTTTACTTTCTAGGATGGCGAGGGCACGACATATAATTGTACATAATTTCATAATGATCCGAACTCCCTAAATGTGCAAATCCTACACGTTCCCTTCTTTGGGTGAGCTAAATATGCACAGATTTTATCCTTCGCTGGCCGGAAAGAAAAAAACTGGGGCATAAATTAAAGAGTATCCTCACTTCTCCAGGCACCAGCACCCCACCGGGGAGGACTGTAGTAAGCAGTAGATTATTGTCTTTAGTTGAGTGTTACACTGGAAGAAAACACCTTCTTTTTTTTTAAAGCTCTTACATTCTAGCAGCAGCATTGCTGCTTAATCCTGCTTGGCTTAACACATGCACATACGTCCCCTGGCACAGGTTAATTTTCTCTCTTCACAGCGAGAGAGCCGGAAGAAAGAAAAAAACGATTCAGAGAGAAAAGGAAGACAGAGCAAGGTGGGTGACATCTTCTTAATAGCATAACCGCTTTGACCCGTGACACCCACTGTCCTTCAGTAGCCTTCCTCTATTCTCCCTTTCCTTTCACAGCAGCAGAGCAGCACTGACACAGAATACACGCTTATATAAAAGAGGAGATTCATAAATCTGTTTTTGGTTTCAGGGACTGGAGGGTCTTTTTGTCTCATGATGGCACTGAGCTCCACTAAAAGCAAAACCTGTTTCCAAGAAAACTGACAGTAAAAACAGCTCATTTCTGCTCACTTAATGTCCCAGGCACAGACACGGGCCCCCTACTCTGAGTTTGAGGTGTGTCACCCAGATACAATCAATACTGCTGTCGATACTGTCGAGCCAGGAGACAAGAGACATGATGGAAAATATCTCAGCTCTCCTCTCATGCAGCAGCAAATCCAATGAAATGTGAAACATCAAGAGCACAATGCGAGGATTAAGAGAAGGGACGTTTCTCTCCGGTCGTCAATATCCTCACCACACACACACACACACACACACACACACACACACACACACACGGTTTTCATCAGTTGTCAGTGTTTCTTTTAATTACACATTATCACATAGAATGCCTAGTATCCATATTGTCTTTACACAAACAATGCATAATCATAATGATAGGAATAATCAATACAAAAGTCTTTATGAAAATCGTTACTTTTTGACACATCGAGGCCAACGTTGGACCTGACAGGTTTTTACAGCTTGGAAAATATCGCTCCTGAGTTCAGACTCGTGAGTTTTAAATATTCGGCTTGCACCACAACGAACCAAAACACGTCTTTATCGTCAATTAGAAGTGATCATTTAATGAGAGAGAGGAGAATGAATTCATGCAAAAGATCTCAGGACAGGACGCTCTCTCCCCCCCGGTTAGTTTTTTTGTGGCGTTGCTGCACTCGAATGCAAAAACAGCTTAACTGGACAAATAGTATCTGTGAGAGTAAGGTGCAACACAGTAGCCAGAAGTCAGTAAACCAGGAGATTCATGAGATCAGCTCATAACACACACACATTCACACACACACACACATACGGCCTAAATTCTCCACAAGCTACAGGATGAAACTCAAAACTAGCAAGTAAAAAGTGGCTTCTCTTGGTTCATATGTTGGATGTTCGACTAAGAATAAGGTCAGTCTCTGCAGAGCCGACCAGTCGTTACCTTAGATCGTACAGAGCTAACCTGGCTGACCCCGCCACTGTTCTTGTGTCACTCAGGGTGATAATTAGCTCCAAATATATCTCTCCGTTCCAGTCTTCTCTTCTGTGCACATAATTATATTGTACTATGCCCTCAAGTATTTCCTTCAGAGCTGCAGAATCTATCATCTTGCATTAGAGATAAAACAGCTTAATCTCTTGGAAAAACCATTTTACCTCTGCTTAGCAATTGCCGTTTTAGTCTCTTAAGGTGGCTCAGACCTCACACTCTATGGATCCTGATATGGTGCACGTGCACGGCCTCGTCTCGTTCACCAAAGAGTCCATTGTCTCTGAGTTGGAGTGGTAGCTCAGGTAGTACTCTTGCAACTGAGAGTTAAGGTCCTGCTCCTGCTTGCGGGCCTTTTTCCTGCGCTTGTGGTTGACTGAGTGCTGCTGCAGCTGCCTCATGGTGTTGGGGTAGCGCCTCCACGACACATAAATAACCAGAAGGATCAATGACACCGACAGGAACAGGGCTACGCTGCCTGCAATGATTTTATGGAAAGCCATATGTTCAAATGGTAGCTCCGGGATAAATGATGTCGGGGGTTCGGGGGAGATGGGAGATGCGGAGCTCAGGGTTGCGGACTCTGTCGTCTTTCTGTCTGTAACACCTGGACGGACGGGCGAAGAAGGGGTTAATCCCTGTGCAGGCGACTCGGTGCGAGCCGCATGGGGAACACCAGAGGGAGGGAGGTGAACTGTTATGTTCACAACTGGGGTTGAAGTGAGAATGATGAGCGCCGTCGTGGAGAACACATCCAGACAGGTGGAGTGATTCCTCACTACGTCCACCACTCTCTCTCCCTGCGCAGACTTGGGACTGCTGCAGATCATGCTGATGTCTTTGGAGTCTCTGATGTTTTTGAGCCACCCCATCAGAGGGCAGATGCTGGGGCTGCAGTCCCAGGCGTTTCCCGCCAGGCTGACGGTGGTTAGCGACGTCCATGCCGCCACGGCCTCCACAGGCACGCTGCTGAGCTTGTTCGATTCGAGGTTGAGTGTCTGTAAGTTCGGCATGCACTGGAAAACCGCCGGGTCCAAGATTTGGATTTCGTTCCCAGACAGGTCCAGTTTCTGTAGTTTGTGCCACGTCCACGGCACGCCTTGATTAATGGACCGTATGCGGTTCCATTGCAAATAAAGAGCCTGCAGGTTGGTCAGCCGTGGGAAAATGAAGAAATTAATCCTGGAAAATTGATTGTGCTCTAAATGAAGTTCTTTTAACTTGTACAGCCCTAAGAACGTTGTGCGGGTGAGGCTCCGCAGGCGATTATAACCCAAGTCCAGAAACTCCAGGCTGCGGCATTCCAGAAAGGTACGAATAAGGATCTGTCTCAGCCCGTTAGATCGAAGGTGGAGATTCTGTAGCTTGCGCAGACCATAAAAATGTCCCGGCTGCAGAGACTGTAGCTGATTGTAAGATAGGTCCAGGTTTCGCAGGTTTGGTATGGCGCTGAACGTGTTATTGTGAAGACGGGTGATCTTGTTGGAGCTGAGGATGAGCTCTTTGAGCCTGCGCACGCCGTGGAAGGCTAAAGCATCTATAGCGTTGATGGAATTGTGGTCCAAGTAGAGCCAGATCAGCTGATTGAGATGAGCGAACTGGTATGGCAGCAGCACCAGCAGGTTGTTATAGCGCAGAGACAGACCTTGGCATCCCGTGGTGATGTTTTCTGGGATGTCTTGGAAGATGCCAGACTCGCAATAAACAATCTTCCCTTCGCAGCGACAACTCGCGGGGCACATCCTCTCCCCCTTGCTGAGCAGCAGCAAGACAGCCGCCTGCAGAAGAAGACATGATATCCTCCAGTCCAACATCACAGAACCTGTTGGGGGTAGAGTGGGTGGGTGGGTGGTTGAGGAGGGGGAACAGGCAATCAAAAAAGGATGACTTGGTTTTATAAAATGTCTTCTCAAATAAGTAAAAGGTGAGACATTCATTCATCAAACAGGAGATCATGTTGTGAGGAGCAGCTTGAGGTCTGATGTCTGAAACACCAGACCTGCTTCATGAACAATTGATAGTCTGACGTTTGCTACTTTTAAGGTAATACTCAAACATGTGGAGGAGAAATACAGGATTTAAATTCATGCTTAAATAAACAGCAGAGCTCCTTCTTCTGTAGCAGTAATAAATTCAGTTTGAGAACTAATAAATCTGTCAGTAATAACTGATCAGAGCTGTCGTCTTGGCTACGAGGAGCCTCAAGAGGCAGAAACTGTGTCACTAAATTGTGAAGATCAGAATGACTTACCCATCGTTACTGAGGGAAGGAGTAATCCTCTGAAACAAATGGATAAAGCGCACATTAAACTGCTCTCAGATGAGGCAACATAAAAAAAATCTCAGTCCACGCAGCCTCAGAGTCTCATCCGCATACTGGGCATCACTTCTGTCTTCAATTAGAGGAGAAAATCAAGTTTTCCGCAGCGGTCCGAGGCTCACCTCCTCCTCCTCCTCCTCCTCCTCCTCCCCCCTGTCCGTCCCTGGTCTGTGCCTGACGCGCAGAGCGAAGGATGCCTTCACACTTGGGTCGTAGTTGGAGTCGCCGCTGTAGTTCAGCCCGCTGTGTGCGCAATAACCCATTTGAGCGCCAATAGACTGATGCACAATCCTCCACTCCATGCAGTCTCTCTCTCTCTCTCTCTCTCTCTCTCTCTCTCTCTCTCTCTCCCTCTCTCTCTGTCTCTGCTATCTCTCTCTCTCTCTCTCTCTCTCTCTGAGGCGTAGGCGTCTTTAAGCACACATAAGCCTATAATAAACTATATACACCAAGCATGTATAATGAGCTGTTATTTGATTATTTAATTGAATGTAATGTCTTATTTTCTCCCCATTAAGTGTCTTATTGGTTGATGTTATAGCTCTATATGAAATGGGAACGCTGTAATGTGAGTTAGGCTATGTTTACCTTGCTCAGTAGGGGGCTCGGTGAATTATAGGAATACATTTGGTCTGAAATCTGCTGCATTTATTCACAATATTCTAATTGAATGTATGTTTTATCTTTAATTAAAGTCTAAAGATGACAATGTAGTATATACTGCTGTTGAAGATGAGGACAACTTAGCTGTTATTTGATTCTTTATTTGACTATAATATATTTTCCCCCTCATTAATTGTCTATATTTGACGTCTTGTTATAGCTCTACTTGAAATATGGACGCTGTAATGTGAGTTAAGCTATATTTACCTTTCTCAGTTGGGGAGCTCCATGAATTATAAGAATAAATGTTTTGGTATGACATTTGCTGCATATATTCACAATAATCCTTAATTTAATAATTAATCAGTTTATTTGCTTTTAATTGAAGGCTTGCAATCTGAGGAGCCACAGTTTAAAGATAGCGTAATGCATAATAATATATATCCATAGAATGATCCAAATCCACCATTCATTCATTAATACTCTCAACCCTCCATTCAGAAATGACAGGAAATAACAGGCAGTTTTTGATCCTTGTTAATATAATAATTAACAGCTTAAGTGTGATGTTGACACGCAGCATCCGTCCACGCTCTCAGGCAACAGGGGGAGTTTATGTAGATAAACAGTTAGCACCTCTTGGTGCCTAGAGATGCTGCTGAAGAGGTGGCAACAGTAGGATTATTGGGATTCAGATTTTAAAGTGGGCAGCCAGCAGACAGCCGACGGAGAGAATAAAAAACACGTTTAAAGCAGGAGGAGGTATAGAAAACCTGTAATTCTGTGCTCGTTTCATACTCATTTTTCATACTTTGCTCAGCCTGCTTTGAACAGACTGGGCTCAACAGTGTGGGGAAACACCATTTACTGACTGCACAGCTTTGGAGGGCTGTAATGTGTGGTAACAGCAACCCCTTGTGCATGCAGAAAGAAATGTCTCCGTTTTTAAGAGCTGTTGATCCACAAACACACGACTTCAGCAAAAGACAAGAGAGAAATCAGCACCCAGATCACAAAATAAAATGAGCTAATGAATTCATATCAATATTTGCCCAGGAGTAATATTCTTAGTCAAACAAGACTTTCTCTGATGCCTGTGGATTGTATTAAGAGGAAATATATTTCATGAAAATCTGCTCCATGAACACCACAGCAGGGGGGAATCTGAGGTGTGAAGATGAGCCATTCTGTTAAGATAATACCTCCCAGACCTATAGTAGCACATTTATTCTCTACTCAATGTCAAACAAAAACCCTGCTCTTCAAAGGGGGGGAGACACGTGTCTCCGGAGATCACATGTCATTCAGAAAAATGTGCACCTGAAGTGTGGGAAAACGTGCCACTCCACGATGAGGCTGCTTAGGCAGAAGGACACATTGTGAAAGCCTGTGATGGGAAGGATGGGCTGTCAGTGATCTCAGTTTATGGATCAGATCTTATCTTGTGTGTGGAAATATAGAGAATGAATGTGTGTGTGTGCGCAGCAGCAGCAACAGCAGCAGCAGCAGCCAGGTATTGGTAATGTAAGCATCCACAGAAAAGTGACAACGACTATCTTCTAACTGCCAATTACAGTTGACACGCAGAGATAGGAGAGTGGATAACACATCATTCTCTGATGCTGCACAATTAACCTGTTTCAGACCCTTTTCAGAGAGATCAGAACATTTATGCATCTGTAAACGCCGATTTATATATAATTGCTCAATAATAATAATAATAATGGGTTTTTGTTTATAAATATGACCCATAATTTTATATTTAGATTTAGATTTATATATTTATATATATAAACTTTGTCTCAAGTTGCTGAAGAAGAACCAAAGATATAAAATCAAACTATCTGTAACCTGCAACCTTAGTGGCTGCATATGAAGTAACCAAAGACTGCAGTTCCTCTAACGGCCACTAGAGGCTGGCTCCAGCCTCCATAAGAAGATAATTAAAATGAAACTTTACAGCAGAAATAAACATGTTTACAGGTTGGTACAGGGGACAGTTTTGGTCTTTAAAGCGAGTATTATCTCTCCTTGCTGGTCGGAGGAATTATTCTATTTTCTTTAAGAAGTCAGCTGCCCGCTCATATCGGTCAAAAGTGATTATTATATGAAATTTATTAATTATATATATGTTTAACTGGTGACTTTCGGCGACTGTTGAAAACACCACAAGAACACAGAGCCAACCTGTCCTCCTATAATAAACATTTACTTCTTATAATGAGGGAAACAAACCAAATTCATTTCTAATACAATGAGTCATTTTAACTGTTTAAACTGATTAAACTTAAACTAACAGCAGCAGCTTTTACTAGACATTTTAAGTGACACGACTTAGTTTTTAAGTTACAGAAACATTCCTGATTAATAACTTTTTACAAGATGTTTTGTTTTCACTGTACAAATAAAAATTCCAAAATTAAGTCACTTAAAATTAGCTACTTGATCAAGAATGTTTTTTTTTCTTATAAAATTGAGTTTGTTTTACTTAAAATGTTCGATGTAATCAGTTTCAACTAAAATTGCTTAAATTTATTGTTAAATCGCTTAAGTTTATTGTTTAAATTCATTATAACGAAAGATTTTAAGTAACACTAACTCAAATTTTTAGGTAATTTTAAGTTGATTTTAAGTGACACTAATTAAAAACACTAAAGAAACATTCCTGATTAAATACTTTTGTCAGTGTCACTTAATGTAATCAGTTTATAAGTTAAAATAAATGAATTTATCTGGTTTTATGAGGCAGTTACAGTTATATTAATGTGTATGTGTAAACTGGCTGTTCTGTACTGTATCTGCAGCCTTGTGTCATTGTTATCATTGTAATACGCAGACAGATGGAAAGATAGATTTATTCCTCCACTCGGTCATCTTCCACTGACCTTTTGCTCTCCTCACCGAGCCCTTATTCTCCGATCCTCATCCATGTCACCAAACTAAAACCGCTGTTGTAGCAAACAGCAGATTATCATCACTGTTTATAGGGGGGTTATATGTGATGTGATGGATGTTTCTAATCTTTCATATATTTGATGTTTTATATGCTGAACTGAACTCAGAGCCTAAGAATCCATTAAATCAGTGGTTCCCAAGTGGACCCCCTTTTCTATTAATGAGTAAACTGCTGAGTTTTTCTGATATTTTATACAATTCTCCGTCTGTATTATGTTCACTGAACTTCCCCCTGCCTTTATTTGGGACAGGTGTCTTTTTGGGACAGGTGTTTAATTCCTTTAGCACAAACTCTTCCTCAGCACAGGTACACAGGTGGAAATACTCTCTAACTGCTGCTTCTCCTGAGTTTTATTCAGCAGATTCAACAACTAACATCTTGATCGTCAGGTTGTGATCGCCGTGATGTAAACAATGACAACATTCAAACATTCAACTTGGACTAATTTAAATGAAAGCCTTTGATTCTTTTCATCGGTGGACTCTCACGGACTATAAAAGAAGGATTATACATGTATGAAAGGAATATAAATAGTGGAGGAATAGACTTTATGAGGTTGGGAGTCAGCACTAAATCTGAATGAGTTATACTTTGATACTCTTAGTTTAGCAGAATATTTACTATTTTTAGAAACTTTTTATACAATTCTCTGTCTGTATTGTGTTTTTTTTTAAATTAACAATCAGGCATAATAGGCTTCTTTTTTTGACAAATTCAGTGTTTTCCTCTCATTGTTCTGTCAGCTCTTTGGTTGTTTTCTACTGCAGGACGAGGCTGTTTATCAAAGAGTGAAGTTTAGATCTTAAATAATAATATAAACTTTAAAAGTAACAGTTTAATTTAGTTTTGGACAAAATGCTGAGATATAGGATATATTTACACTATAAAGGGGGTCGCGACCGTCAGGTTGAGTTGAGTTGAGTGTTAATTCATACTTCATACATTAATTGATATGAGACCAATTAGATGGATTTCTGTTACATACATGTGTTTTTCAGGACTTTCTGAGCCTCTCTGATTAAAAATAACTTCATATTTCCATGAGAAGTGAGACAATAGTGTTTTTGACACATTTACAACGAAGTGGGCGGAACACAAGTTGTTTTTTCTTTAAAAAAAAAAAAGTGTGTTTGTGTTGTTGAAAGCAGTCGAGCTTTAAGATGTTTGATCACTCTCCTCTAATTTATTCATCATGCTGTAAATGTGTCAAAAAAATATAACAGTGGGTTTTATTCTCATAGTTATCTGAGGCTGAGCGAATTCATGGCCCTGAAATAAACTTTTATGTAACTGGAATTCAGCTAATTTGGTTGAATTTCAATTAATGTTTCCCTTAACTGATGATCTGTTGAGTGTGAACGAATAGTGACCTGATCATTTATTAGCGGTGAATTTAACAATCTATCCTGCATTCATTCGTGCATTAAATCATGCATCAATTAAGTAGTAAGTATATGTTGTGGTTGTCTTTTTATAGGTATATATGTGTAAGATAGGATGTATTTATGGAAGTATAAATGTACTGTAAAAGTGTGCACCATCATACTAACCTACTCTACTTTTATTATTATTTATATATATTATTATTTCTGTCGTTATGTACATGTGTGTTACGGTGTATATATGTATATGTACGTTTGTGTGTGTATGAATATGTGCGTTTGTGTGTGTATGAATATGTATAGATATATAGGTGGTGTATA